TGGTAACGTGTACGATGTGCGGATTTCGACATGGTAATCTTTACTATTTTATTTTCTCCGTGCGGTTAAAAAAGTTAAAAAGGAGTAGACCGAAAAAAATAAATTTTTCTATGATGTAATTGAGATAATCGAAAAAAATACCTCGTTTTACTCTATGGAATCTCATGAACATTTTGAAAAGAGAAAAGTTTAAATCGGATGAATATCGTGGTGCGAGGAGCTTTTGTAAAGCTCAAAACACGAAAAACGACGTTTTCACCTGACGTACGGGGTAAAATAGCTTGGGCATGAAATTTTTCGCAGTTTTTTAGGTAACCCCTGATATATCAAAATCGCTCTACAATTATTTCCATCAACCGAAGACTTTCAAATTTCAGCAGGGTCCCCCTTAAAGGGAATAAAGAGTGAGAAAATATTCAACTGGGAGATTTTGCAAGGCTTCCAAAGGGCTAAAACGGGTCAAAGTCTACAACAGCGTCCAAGTGCCTCAATTTTTAACCGATTGAGTTGAAAATGGAGTTGCATATAGTTGAAATATGCTCAAAAAAATTAGTATAAATTTCTAGAAATATTGATTTTTTGTATGCATTCATATTTGTTTCGTCTCACCAGTATATACTATCTATTTTTAATATGGTTGAGTATATACCTCTATGGGGCACATATTTTTTCAGATTTTTTTACAACTTCACACAAAAAAATCAATATTTTTGAAAATTAATTCGTGATTTGTTTGTGCGTATTTCAATTATGTGGGACTCAATTTTTAGCTCAATCGGGTGAAAACTGAGGCACATGGCTACATTCTATGGATAGACTTTGATTCGTTTTGACTCTTCGCAGATCCCATGGATTCTAGAAGTTCAATTTTTTCATACTTTTTTGACTTATTATATTTTAACTTTGAAAATCGTCTTTACAATGCCCGACACCTATCAAATTTTACCGCGATCTTCCAAATCAATAGAAATCTGGAAAATTAAAATGCTTACTTCCAACTATATTGAACGTATTGACCATTTTTATTTCATTTATCCTCACACCAATCAAGTACCAAAAATATTTAAAAACTTGAATCCCTCCAACTTTCCGTATTGAACCTCTAAAAGTTCCGTTTTGGAACGGAATCAAATCAACTTTTTACATTCTATCGCTATTTTTTCAATCCTTCTATCGCTATTTCTGGTTCATTGAAAGTTAAAATGTTCCTATGAACGAAAAATCAATCATTTTTCAAAACTATTTTTCCACAAAATGGAAAATACATGCGGCGGCGCTATGCTGACCTAGTCAGTTGACTCCGTTGGCGGTCGAGCGCCAGTTCAGGAGGATTAATAATTTCCTAAAAAATGGCTCTTAACTGTCCCACTCCTCTTTACTCAATCTACATCTTTCTCCAAACTACTTCTCCTTTTCATGAAATCATGAACCAATGTTTCACACTCCAACCCACCACCAAAACCCTCAAATTTATTTTAAAATAATGCGCTCCTACGTGGGCCACCAGAATAATCGAGTGTAATTAATGTTACTCCTGACACGCGTTAATTCTCATCTGTAGGCGCGCCGTGGGTTTTACTTTCCACCAGCAACTTTCACTAAGGCTTATAAAAAGACATTTAAGAATGAGGAAACATAAGAAAGAAAATGGAAAAAAATAACTTTGTCTCTACTTTGGAACATCTGAACTCTCCCAATCTTCCCATTGATAAGAGTAGTCTCAGTGGTAATTAAAAAGGCTTGTTGGCAATACATGAAGTTAATGAGGCAATTGTGGCCGGCCTGCTCAATGCAACAAATTATTTTCTCCGATAATCATCATCTTCAGGGCCTCTCGACAGCCTTTTTCCATGAACGTCAATGGAGATGGTGGAACATTCAGTGAAGGTTTCTATACTCTCCTTGGTTTCTATTGTCAGAGGAGGGTATCTGTAACACCCGTAGGGATGCTTCGAACAAAATTTGAAAGACGATCCTTGAATAACTCCACTCGAACTCCCGCAGTCAGGGTATTCACTTTCACGTGCAATGGAATTGTGTTGTTAATCGCTACCCAATGGGACATGAGGCTGACAAGACTTAGGGAAATCATTGAGATGTAATACCTTGAGGAAATAGCCTTCTCCTGGTTCAAACTAAAGTTTATATCAGACAATTTTATTTACATTTTGTTTGGTCATCTTTCATTTGTCTTCTAAGTAAGTCATTTTCAAGTGTTATATTACAGTGGAGTACATTTCTGCTTATTTTATGCTAAACTGGTATCGTTGTCCTCCACTGGGGAAATTGACACCATGAGAACAAGATAGTGGAGACAAGGGGCCCTATCCATTCACTTGGTTGAGGAGTGTTTTCATTCTTATTCCAGAATTAATTGGAATTGAGTGAGGATAAGGGGAGAGTCATGGAGAATATTTATGACATTAAAGGCTATTTATTTGTTTTCGCTCAACAGAAAGGAGAAAAGAAATAATAACTCAGTTTATATTTTTCATTATTACTCGAATAGGTACCATAAATGTGACAACGCTTGAACCGATCAATTTGCGGAGAATATTCCTGTAATAAAATGATAGAATAATACAAGTTAAAGATAACCCAATTTTGTGGATTATTTCGCAAATATCATCAGTTATATGAAGAATCTCTAGTTGATAGTTGATGATAGATGATTCAAGAAATAGGAAGTTTTATCTACGACCCAATTTGTAAGGAATCCTTTCGCCTATAAAAACGATTCCTTTACATTTTTTCTACACTTACTGCCTTCCCATAATTCAAAAAAAAATCTGCACAAAATTTGAAATTGACATATATGTATCTATTATTATACGTTTTGTACGAATCATTAATTTATAAAAGTTTATAAACCACAAAAATCTTATCTATAAATAAACACGCCAAAGAATAAGCACCCTCGCCATTACACACTTCTCTCAGTATATGACGTTTAATCTATTCCGTAACCTCCACAGTTTAAAACTATTAACTTGATGCAGATATTATGTTGCCCCATTTCTTTATTCTCGGCTATTTTTCAATAAACTCAATGGAAAGAGTTTATTGTTTTCCATTGACCCAGATTTATGAATGACTTTCAACGTAGTGGAAGAGGTAAGGGGCGTGAATGGGATCAGCAAGTGAGTGGTGAATAAAACACGAGAGTATACGAAGCAGAGAAAATACTGGAATAGGACAAACGATTAAATTTACTGAATGCCACGTTATGGTGAATGTAAAGAAGGTTTTTATGAATAAAAAAGCCTTGGGTTTATGAATGAAATCCCAGAATGGAACGTTATAAAGAGCTTGCGCAAAAATACGTGGTGTTTCTTGTTCTTTTCTCTCCTGTTGAGAACAAAAAATAAACGGGAACAGAAAAAAAAGAAAAAAATGGAAGGAGGAATGGAATGAAGGAATATGAAGAAGGTGGCGAATTGAAACGGTGGCAGTGTGTAAACTAAAATGGAATAATAGATGCACCGGAAGACGTCCATGAGCGATCCGGAAGTTCTCACGAATCTCCTGCATCTCTCACAACCACAACCGAACCGAACATGACACCTGGCACTCGTACAGCAGCCCAGAGGCCCAATACCATGTCACTAAAAAACCCAAAGAACGCAGGGTGCGCAGATGACCGAGTGAGAAAAGATATTGCTTACGTATATATATATATTCATTTTTTCAGAGTTTTTTACTCGAGAAAATACGACAGATAGAACGGGTGACTTCATCCGTATGAGATTTTTTAGAGTTGTAGAGAGTTATTAGTCAATGAACAACCAAGATGCATTTGTTAATGAATCAATTCTCCATTTCTCTGAAGGAACGTCTTTATTCGCCAAACATTTTTGTTTTCATATAAAAATTTATGAGCGTGTCATTCAATTTAGTGGCTATTTATTTCCAATAATGGAGAATTCTCTTTTTTTCTCCTCTCATTAATGATGAACCAATGAGATATCTCTCAATTTCAACACATAAGAAAAAAAAAGTATGATGTAAAAAAACACCGGACGTAGCGCCGACGGACAAGCATTCTTCATAGTCCCGTTCACGTAAGAGGAAACGACGCACACAGGAATCTCAAACTCGACCGGCGAACTCGTTATGAATGTTGCCCCGAGTGTACACTACCCCCCATCCTCTCCCCCATTACCCTGAATCACCTTTTTCACCCACCATTCCTCCTCATCTGTAGCACAGCTTCATGACAGGTTCGAGAACGTTGGAGTGGGCGCCACTTGGTTTATACTGTGAAAATATCCGGCTGGCATAGGGTCTTTTTATTCACCCGCACATCGACAACATCACCATCGCCATCAGTATCCAACATTGAAAAGAAGGGGAGACATAAAATTGTTCACATGTTTACGGAAAACAAGAGGTAAAAGAAAAAGGATAAAAATAGCTGCGCCTCGAAGTGAAGGGTAATGTTATAATTGAAGTTGAAACAGGGGGTTGGGGGTATTTTTTACACAATTATCCATGGTTGTGGCATCTAATACTATTGGGAAAGTTGACGGACATTTTGTGGCAAGAAAAAAAAAATTCGATAACTATCGAATTGATGAGGGTGACGCGACGCACTGATTTTATTTCTAGTCAATAATAGAAATCCTTCGGATTCATACCTTTGGAGCCTAAAAGAAGAGTAGTATTTTGAGAGAAAACAACTTCCACAATTCCGACATCTTATCGTGGGCGCGAAAAGCGTCTTTAACGGCCCCGCGGACGTATCGTTAGTGTATATTTAAATACTAAAAAAGGCGCGCACAGCCAGCTCGGCCGGAAATTGGTCAACACACTTAATGCAGCGCGTGCACTTTTCTACGCGAGCTCATGTAAATTTGTCCCCCACAATTATTATCATCATTCGTCCCCGCCCTTCTCCACTCTCCTCAATTCATCCATAATCCGTGTAATACGTGCGACAACACGTACACCGATTTACCAAAGTACTTGGATACTTGGGAAAAAATACACGAGCCACTTACCCCAATTTGATAAACAATGCGGGGCTCCTGTTCCGGTCGTTTATGATGTTTTTTAGTATTGATCAAATCAATCTCAATAGCGGAATCCTGAAACTCCTGTAGTTTTGCCAGATACCTGCTTTCATCCAGTGACAGGTACTCATGCAGAAACTCTTCACCAGCATCATCCATCTCAACACCGAGTAAATTACCAAGGCACTTAGTAAACACAAGGCACAATGTTAGAAACAAACAAATTCTCTTAGGAGATTCCATTTTGTTTGTCGACGAATCTCGTATTTTGCACTCCAAGCCAAGTTAATTGATTTTTAATTTTCAATAAATCAATATTAGTCAGTTTCTCGAGTTAACTAATCACAGTCACATCATCAGGGACAATTTTCCAATTTCACATAACTGTGCATCTTTCCCATTAATTGATTGATTGAAGAGGACAACGAACAACACTATTAAATCAATTTCTATTTTATCTTTCGTATCATCTTGGACCGCAACTTGGGCTTAACACCACGTGAATGTCCATTTATAACTTTGATTCCACTCCAGTTAAGGATAAACAAACCATTTAATTTACGTTGTCCCTCAACAATTCAAAAAAATGTTCGATAAGAAAATATAATATGGTTTTTCTAAAAAGTACTATTTTGAAAATTGTACGAATTTTTCAATTCACGTTATGACTTTTAGTTTCGACCAAAAATGTTCGTCGATGAATAGTAGGTGACTGTCGGTCGTAGAATGGTGCCCACGGGGTACACGAAGGTATGCCGTGGTTGAACTGGACTCTTAGACCAGCAGCAAAGCATGAATGGATGCCCCCACTCCATTTAATTCTTTCTTTCGTATGCCCTCTCCCCCTCCTATTGCCCTTCGATCTCGATCTTCGTTGGAATCAGTTAGGGAGAGGGGATAAACAGAGGAAGGGGGACCCGTCTTCTTGAGTCCGGTTGTCTCTTTCTCGTGGATTCTTGATGCTGCACTGAGGATTCTTCCCTCTCCATTTTACGCGAGTAACTCAGGCTCAGGTTCTTCTCATACTGTCTCACTCTTTTCGCCGTTTGGTCTCTTTTACTGTCTCGACGTACCTTCTCCTCCTCCTCCTCCTCCTCCTCCCCCCTCTCCCCCCATAAATGAGGGACTCCTGTGGTACTGCTGCTGTGGAAACGATGAGGCACTACACCAGGTGGAGACGTCGGTTACTCGCTTTTATCCGAGTCTTCCGCGCCGGAGGCTATTTTTATTTTTTCCTCTAAGATACTCGAAATGGGAAGACGATATTTAAAACTATGAAAAGTCTTTGTAAAAGGATTTCTCAGGAAGTTAATCTCTTGCGGAGTTGTCAAAGGAACGTATCCTTCGAATTCTCAGATAAAAATTACCAAGGCAGACGATGGGAATAAATTTGTATGAAACCTGCACTAACAGAAAGGATTAGTTATTGTTAACAAATGGATTTGATTAGAGGCTAGGGTTGATTCGGTCTCAGTAAATATTCATTCGTTAATAGTAACCAAATGCATATTTGAGGAGTCCTGTTTGACTCGACTTTCACCTTTCAAGTAAACCATTCGGTAACTATTAACGAATATTTATTTAGCCATATTCAACTCTACCATTCGCTAATAGTTAACGAATCTCGTTTGGAATAAATAAATCATTCTTTTAGTGTAGGTTGGCGAGCCCGAGTAGAAATTTAGTCAGGCAGACCTGTTGGCAGAGAAGGCCCTGCTCCGTTATCGATACGGTATACCTGATTACAGCCATTGCAGGCTCACCTTACCAATAAATTCCAAACTTTAAGCAGGTATGCCTAATCATGCCCCAGTCAGGGCCTTTTGAGCGTACCGTGATGGAGAAAAATTAAAGTTACATCAGCCATGTCTGATAAGGGAAATGCCGTGTTCCTTTTCAGCCTGTTTTGATTGAACACGAGTGCTTGTTGAGTATACCGGATACGGCCATGATCAGGACCAGGTAAGGTATGCCGGGAATCCTTAACTTCGAAAATTCTATAAGTTCAATACGGCGAACCTGATCCGGCAATGATCAGGTCCGGATAAGGTATGCCGTACGAGACTTAGAAAAATTTTCACCAAACAAAGAGTCGGGGTGGAAATGGTAAAGGGGGATGGGTCGGAGGGGAGGGGGGATGATGATCAGGAAAATTATAGTAATTGATATTATTCTAGATTTAGTTCAATACTACAATTTTATTGGGAGTATTATTGATATACTCAAAACAAACGAAGATTTTTAAGAATGATATGGTGGTCGAGTGGATAGGGTACAGAACTCGATGGCACATCGGCTCGTCTAGCGACTTTTTACCAAAAAAAAAACGAATAAAAACAAAGACTAATCGAAAATAATTGTCCAACACCAAACATTTCCTGATAACTATAATTCAATAACATAAAAAAAGTGATGCATATACCGTTAACTACAAAAAAGTGAAAATTACTGAAAATAACATGCAAACACCGCTCACCGGCACCTCGTCAGAGGGGCAAAATCTCGGCGAATTTGCGAATGTAATCACAAAAGACAATCGTAAGAGAAAAAATTCAGAGACTTCCCCAAAAATGTCACACAAAAATAAGAAAAGTGTAAACGGAAACGGAATCCAACTAACAAACCGATTTCAAATACTCGACGATCCAAACATGGACACATCGGGCGACAGTTCCGATGACGAAAGAGATCCACAAAAAGCTAAACCCAACAACAGTAAACCAACGAAAACCAAACGCCCACCACCACTGGTAGTGCATGGCAAACTTGAGACTCACAAAACATTCATGAAGAGCCTCAAAGACGTTTTAAAAGACAGATAACTTCACAGAAGTATTCACTGACTCCAAAGTACAATATGATCGCCTCAAAGGCATCTGGCAGCAAGAAAAACTGATGTTTCACACGTACACAGCTCAGCACGAGAGGAAAAAGATATTCGTAGTCAGAGGTCTTCACACGGACGCAGACATCCAAAAAATCAAAGAAGAGATTGAACGGGTAGGGTTCACAGTCATCCATATCAACATAATGAAGAAAACTAAACAAATAAAGCATATGGTAACATTCTCTGGTGACGTTAATATTAATCAAATCCAGCAAAAACTTACCTACCTGGGTAACATGAAAATCTACTGGGAACTCTACGCCAACAAACGAAGAATCACTCAATGCAGAAGGTGCCAGACCTGGGGACACACTACGGCTAACTGCTACGCGGAACCAGCCTGCCTCAAGTGCGCTGAAAATTATCTGACAAAAGAATGTCAGAAAACTCCAGAAACATCAGCGAAATGTATCAACTGTGGCCTTGACCATCCAGCCAACGCTATCATTTGTAAGGAATATCAAAACAGACTCCAGACGATCGAGAACAAGAAAAACAACCAAAAAACTCCAAGATCGGCCGGATCAGCGGGCAATCCGCCCCTAATCAACAACACAGGACACTTTCCAAAGCTGATACCAACACATGCTGCATCCGAAGGACTGCGGGGCTTCACGAGAACTACGACGATCAACAATAAGGACTTCATGAAACCCGCGACGAGCAACACCAACCTCTCCCAGGGTAACACTAGCACTAACACGCATCGAAATACTGTTGACAATAATACAAATGTTCATAGAAACTCAAATAATTATCAAACAGTAAATAATAACGTGATCAACGGTAGAGAAACAGTCTCAGAATTCATGGAATTGACGAAAGAGATAGAAACACTTAATAAGATCTTCGACATCACAAAAATGTTGAATGCAGTTAGAAATCTTAGAAAACTAATTAAGACCTGTTCTTCTCAGGGTAAACAATCCCAAGTATTCTTCGAATTTGGTCAAAAAATGAATAATGGATAATTTAATAATTTCTAGTTGGAACGCAAATGGTTTGAGAAGCAAAATGGGCGAACTCATTAACTTCGTAAATAGTCAAAATATAGATATAATAATGATTAATGAGATACTATATAAAGAATCCGCACGGATACCAAATATTAAAAACTATACAGCTCACCATGAGTACAAAGTAGAGGGTACTAGGGGAGTGTCGGTGTACATCAAAAACTCAATCCCACACAAAAGAGTCAAAATGAGTAAAAATATCACAGCAGAACACATTTGTTTACAACTAACAAGCAAAATTTACATAATTGCGGTCTGTATGAGCCCTTCTGTAATTTACACGGACAGAGAGCTAGAATTATTCTTAGGTATTGGAGATAAAGTCATATTAGCAGGAGATTTGAATGCCAAACATCAAGCCTGGGGCAACACAATTGAAAATTCAAGAGACATACTCTTTCATAACTATTCACTATAGAATGACTGTAACATCTCATTTCCAAACAAACCGACCCACTTTTCGAACACCGGTAACAGCCCCTCGACTATTGATTTAGTGGCACATAAATATGTCACCACTATTTCGCCAGTTAATGTACTCACGCAGTCATCATCAGACCATAATGCTATAATTTTCACCTTAGGAGCACAAGAGAAATTCGAAGATAAAAGGGCAGGGTACGACTACGAACAGGCAGACTGGGAAAAGTTTTATAATCTACTAGACAAAAAAATAGAAATATGTGAAACTTATGACTCCATAGACAAATTAGACAGAGAAATACAGAAATTTACAAATGCTCTCCAGTATTGCATTTATAAATCTATTCCAATTAAAACTAGGAAACAAATAAAGGACGGCCGCCCGCAAGATATACTAGATGCAATTAAAGACAAAAACAAAACACGACGCCTCTGGCAAACACCCAGACTCGCAATTTATAAAGATCTCAAGAAAAAAATCAATCATATTAATACACAAATAGCAAATCGCAGAAATAGTGAGTGGTAAAAGAAACTAGAAAGCCTTGATGTATGTGACAACTCTCTATAGAAGATGACAAAAATATTTAAAAAAGATTATACATCAATCTAGTTCTAGTCAATGGTAATATAGAAGATAATATTAACTTAGCAAAAGCAAATATGTTAGCCTCACAATTTGAAAAAGTGCATGATATTAATTTAAATAATAATACTAGGAAACAAAATGAAATCGTCACAGAGGTGGCCAACTTTATCGATTCCTGTGAAACAGGGGACTGGGAAGATTTCAAAACGACCCCAGCTGAGGCCAAACAGATAATCAAAGAACTACCCGGGAAGAAGCCTCTGGTCTAGACAAAATACAAAATATAATATTCAAAAAGCTCACCAATGATGGAGTAATCCAACTCACGAATTTAATTAACGGATCTATAAAATTATCTCACTTCTCCAGTCACTGGAAAACTGGTAGTATCTTCCCAGTCCAAAAGCCAGGGAAGGATAAGGCACATCCTAGTAGCTACGGGCCAATCAACTTGCTCTCAAACATGGGAAAAATAATTGAAAAAATAGTACACAAAAAACTAAATAAATTCGAAAGGGAAAACAAAATCATTATAGACAACCAGTTCGGATTTCGAGAAAGACACAGTACGGTCCAACAGGTAGCTAGAATAGTGAACGATATTAGTATAGGATTCAACATGAACAAAGTGACTGTGATGTTACTCCTAGATATTGAGAACGCATTTGATAGGGTCTGAATTGACGGTCTAATAACAAAAATGATAAAACTCAAATACCCAAGTATCCTTATTAAATTTATTAATTCGTATATGAGGAAAAGACATTTAATAGTCGCAGTAAATGGTGAATCGTCCACAAAAAGAAAAATCAACAGGTGTACCCCAGGGA